TATATACTTAATAATTGGACTGGGGATCTTTATGCAAAATAAAAATTTAATTCAATTCTGAGAAAAAGGAAACAAATAAAAATTAATTTTTTCTCAATAATTTTCATAAAGTTAACGACGATGCAACAGCACTTTTAAATTCTTCCATCATCTTCTTAGTTCTTTATTGCACCTATTTTACTAATGATAGATGTAGAAAAACTCTCAGTTTATGGATTAGAGTTTAAAAGTGCTACAATTATAGCTAAAGAATTAATTAAAGAATCGAATTAAATAAATATCATTTTCTCGATTTCTATAACAGTTAATTTTTAATTTTTTTTAAATAAACTACTGTGATTTTCTTGATTTTTGCAACATATCGACAGTCAACGTGTCAAACGGTTAGTAAACGAGCATCAAGAGGGCGCGAAACTGTTTTTCTGGAACATTTTGATACCTACCGATCGTCTGGGGGTTAGCTACCCTTTCTTCATCGCGTTCTAGATCCATTTTTCTTCCTGACTTCGTAGGCAACTGGGAGCTTTTCGATGGTTTCGAGACGTTGGTCAATTCGACGTCGGAATCAGAGTCCAGAGAAATAGATGGCACTGCTTCTTTCTCTGGTTCTATCGTAAAACACGCAATAAAACGATTTTGTCAAAGTCTGACAACTGATTTACAGTAATTGGAAACTGGTAACATACCTTTCGAGGCGAAGTATTTTTTAACGGTCTCCAATGCGTCAACGTCGTCGTCGCTTTCACTGTCTTCCACCATTTCCGATCTTATTTTGCGTGGATTTGATGCTGGTTCTGTTCACGCAAATTGAAAAATTAGATGTATGGTATTTGTGTGAGTAATCGTATTCTCATACTGGAATCAGCAGAGAAGTCAAAACGAACCACTCCAAATTTTTTTTATTATATGATCACTGAAGCTATAAGGATGCTTTTGCAGAAAATTATTAAGTGATTTAATTAATTTATGCTTATACTGTAACTAGTGTCAGTTTCAATTCTATAATTTTTTTACATTTTATAATTGCACTGTTAATCTTCTTTTCTCTGAGCATAATTTTTCGTTTCCGGAAAACGAATGTACAAAAACCGATTAGACAATTTTAGATAATTTTTTATGAGGTCTGAATTTAAATCCTGTCATTTTTCTGAAACAACTCACAGCCTTTATTATTAAACTTATATAATTCCAGTATTAATCTTGTCTCATTAAACACAATTTTTCATTTCCAACAAAAGAATTTATTAGGATGAAAATCATTTTACGAACTGTATTTGTAATAATTTTTAACAGAATTTTGCACATCAATGTTACTCGAAGAATTGCGTTGAGAGAGCAGAAGTTGAGAGGGATCAGAAAATGTATAAGTAAACGGCATCAAGTACAAAAGTGATAATACCTTCGGCAATGAAATTCCCAGCCAATGCGGCATCTAGAAGATCGCAACGCTTTTGCACGGTCGAAGTAAGCATATTAGCCGGTATACGCCAATAAGATTCCTGTTCATCAAACGGAGGTGTGAACCCCATAGCCCGAAGAAGCTTTTGAAAGCTCGGCGAATCCATCGCGGCCGACGAATAATCTGTCAGCGGGACTAAAGGAATACCTTCGGTGCTTTCCTCGTCTCGATCGTCCAGGATATCCTGCAGGGATTCCTTAATCCATTCCAAAGCTTCCTTCATATCTGATTTACGGAAAAATTTGTTATTACATCTTGCCGCGAAAAATTTCATTCAACCCCGCTCCATATTCACTAAAACTACCCGCAGAATTATGGTCAAAGAAAAAGATATTTTACTCAGCTTACGCAATGAATTATTCATTGCTTTTTGCCTTAAAGAAACTTGCTTGCTTTAAAGTTCTTAAAGATACCCGAAGCTACATAGTAATCGATAGACTGGCTATACTAAAGATTCCAGATCTTAGAAATATTCGGAGAATTTACTTTCGGTTATTTCTTGTTCACGAGTGGAGAATTGAATTCCCTTCTATTATAGTTTCTTTGGAATTGTTTTTACGAATGTTAGTTTGCATGAACAATCGAATGTTTTAGCTTAAATGCTATTTTCTCGAATTTGTGGACAGGTTAATTTTTAAATTGCTGATCGACTGTTAAGAATTTCTTAAAAAATTGTTCAAAAATTAGAATAATCTTGTGCACAATCTATCAAATTATTTAGATTAATATAACGTGACTGGTCTTTCGAAATAAGTATTTAAAAGAAAATTATTGAGCTTCTCTTAGACATAGTTCAGTTAGTAAAAATGAAACAAAATGGAATTGACTCTGAAGAAGAATATCCAATATAGATTTTTAGTATAATTAAGTCTTCTATTTAAGATAAATTAAACTGTGGATCTTTATGCAAAATCACAACTTTCTAAGTTAATTGCGAAATACACACGTTTCCTTAGCAATTTTATAAACAGTGTGTGTACTACTGTTCTTTATGTGCGAAATAAAGATTCTCCGCGCGAATTTCAACGAACAAAATTTGAATAGAAATTAATTGCTTCTCCCTCGATAATTTTAAATGATAATTAGACCGTAGTCTTTTAAATGGAATGAAAATTCTGTTCGCCAATTTTGGGAAATGAAACGTTAATAGAAATTCAATTCTTCATATGATAATTTTAAAAGAAGAATACATAATTGCACCAGATCTGCAGAATAAAAATTCACTGCGTCAATTTCAAGAAACAAAACTTCGACGGAGATTCACTCGTTCTCTTAACAACTTTATTCCCGAAGTGCACTTTAATTTCCATGGCCGATAACGACACTATAGAGAGGTAAAACGTGATTATCATTCGCCAATTCTACAAAAGCCAACATGGGACGAGACCCACGGAAAGCTATTACATTCTTAAAATTCACTTTGAAAGTCCGCAGACAAGTGACCAAGAAGAGATTGAATGTTTGATGGTCCGCTCGGTGTTCCATCAACTTTGTCATAAACGCAGGAAATCCGGAATCTGAAATACATTCCGTGAACGAGCCCCCCGTGTTGTGCCCTAGATTCTACCGCGCGGCGAATTTGCTATTCCGCGCGAGCGTGTCAGTTAATACGGGCAAAGGAGTGTAACGTCAGGCTGAAAAAGAAAAATAGGCTGTCCATGACGCGGGCAAACCGCATTTCAAGAACGCTCTGCGAGAACGCGTTCCCTCTTTGACGCGTAACCGAGAGCAAAGGATCTTCCGCCTGATGGGTGACAAGCACATTGGCTTGACACAAAAGGGTGAGCAGATCGTTTTTTAAGGACACGCTTTCGAGGGTCCGTGGGGGATGAACTCCGCATTTGTACCGCAAAGTCTAACGTGCCATTATTTTCTCCGGTTGGTGTACCTTTGATTTCCAAAAATGATATTTTTTCCGGGAACACATTTGTCCTGTTGCGGGAGGGGACCGTGCGGCAAAGGTGTTGCGAATAGATTAGTTCACCGTGGGATCGTCTTTTGGAGATTCATTCACGTTTCAATGTAGCCGATCAAACCACCATTTTTCATTTTTCTGAACGCGAACAATTTGTAAATGTTGTCGAAACGTGTACGGATAAATCGAATAAATGCGACTGCAAAACGTGTTATAGTTTTTGCACACAAAGATTTACAGTAGAAGACCCCTTTAAAGGCACGTAGCGACCAGCAACAAATAAGCACACAATAAAGAAAATTTTATTTTCATTGTTGTCTTACCTTTGTAGTTGTAGTATCAATAGATAGTTGAGATTCTTCCGATTAGAATGAGTCCAAACACGATATAAATTGGATTAATTTAAGCTATTCTCCGGTTAATTGATAAGCAATCTACAGGGTGAGTCACGCAACTTGTACAATTGAAATAACTTCTAAATGATGCTTTTTATGAAATATTGTTAAATACATGATTTCAATGACGAGTGGAGACTCTTATATGTAGAGAGGTTCTTAGCTTTCAAGATTAATTAATGTAAAGTTATTTAAAGTGTGCAAATTACGTATCTCACCCTGTATAATATTAAGCTCTTCGATGAACGTAGTCCGATTGTCATCGTGTTTGGACTCATTTTAATCAGAAGAATCTCAGTTAACCATTGGTGCTATAATTAGAAAAGTAAGACGAAAATGATTGAAAATTATTATTACTCGAATCGTAATCAGAGTTGGGCATTATTCGAATAAAATTTTATTCGAACATGTCGAATCAAGTTTTCTTCGAATAAATTCTTCGACTAAAGTTTTCTTCGTATAAATTCTTCGACTAAAGTTTTCTTCGTATAAATTCTTCGACTAAAGTTTTCTTCG